CTGTTTTGTCCATCTTTTATTTTACCTCTTTAAAAATGAACAGAACATCCTTAAAACTCTTCAAAGTATTCATAAATCTTTACTGTATTTTTTCCTGTTCTTTTTTGTTTCTGCTTTTAACTTCTTTGTGATAATTTCAGCTTCCTTCTGCTACTATTTTGCTGATTTCAGCCATTCTGACTTTTTCTGCCTTTTTTCTGCTATTCTTCTGCTACTTTAAACTTTTCTTTAGTTCTTTTCACTTTCAGCTTTTTCTGTCCCTTTCAGCTATATTCATATTCCTTTTACTGTTTTATATGCATATTTCTGCAGTTTCAGCAACTCTCTGCCCATTGAAGTTTTTTTCAGTTTTGTTTCAGCAGATTTCAGCTAATTTTGGGTTCCACCTCAACTGTTAAAGTTCAACCAGAATTAATAGTTCTGTTTGTTAAAAATATTTCAGCTTCTTCAGCAGCTTTCAGCTAAATTATTCAGCAAGTAACACCGCATTTTTGCTGGAAATAATTTTTTTTCTACGTCTGATTTCCTACGTTGAGCATCTTTATGTCTCATGAAAAAGGGACGTTTTAGCTCCATCCAGCTGCTATAAAAACATCTAGTCAGAACAGCGTGTGTCAGGATTGAAAGTCCAGCCACGAGGGTTTAAAAAAAGCCCTCCCTGTTAGCCGAACGCCTCGATGTGGCGGYATGAGGGTCAGGACGGGCCCCCCGGGGCCTGGGTAAACACCGGCCAGTCCAGCCAACACCAGCGCCACCACTGGGTTGAGCAACACAGCCGGGGGACATTTGGCCACATCGCAGCTCAGCGTTCCTGCTTTATGAGCAAAAACAGCCGAAACTCTGAGAAAAGAACCCAGAGGCCTGCGGGGGTGAAATGCTGACTGTAAGAAAAAGAGGGGAAAAAAAATAAAATAAACGAGAAAATGACTGAGTGTGGCAAGAATGAGACGACAGAAAGGAGCGATATGAGAAAGAGCCTAAAGGCTGACGTCATGTTATCAGGAGGGCAGAGAGTTTTAGCCTTTTTAGCCTTTTAAGGTCATCAGCTCGATGTATAAAAACCTGACTTATCTCTAATTGTCTGAACACTTTTAAAACATTCACATTAAGCAGATTAGTTTTCTACCATACATGTTTTGGCTCGTATCTCATTTCACTTTTTTTGTGCAATTTCAACAATTTTTTTAYATCAAAACGTTCGGCTGCTTCAGGACATTCCAGCTATGACTTTTGGTATTTCAGAAAATTATACTTTTTGAGATATTTAGCTTTTTCAGAATTTTTTTCTCACTGAAAATGATGTCATCAACACTGTTAAAACCCTTTAAAATGTTCATAAATCTTTACTGAACCTTTTAGCTTTTGTTCTGGTTCAGCTTTTTCTTGGTGCTGATTTCAGCATCTGTTTTGTTGATTTGAGGGTTTTTTTGTTTTTGTTTTTTAGCTATCATTCTGACCTTTGATTACTCTGTTGATTTAAACTTTTTATGCTTCTTTAAGCTTCTTTCTGCTAATTTAGGCTTTTTATGCTTCTTTCWGCTGATCTCTGCTGATTTCAGCAATCTTCTGYAGACGAGCTACTTTTTAGCTAATTTCAGCTAATTTGAGCATTTTTCAGCTAAATTCACATTTTTTGTAATGACTAGTAATTTAGGCTTTTTATGTTTCTTTCAGCTGATTTCTGCTGATTTCAGCAATCTTCTGTAGATTTTTTTTTCCGCTAATTTCAGAAAACGAGCATTTTTCAGCTAAATTCACTTTTTTGCACTGACTTCTTACTGCTTATTCAGCAGACATGCTCTATGTTTCTCTGTGTCAGTTTTGGCTTTTTCAGGTACTTTTTTCAAGCTATTTTTAGTTTAGTCTCAGCTTTTTTAGCTATTTCAAAACAAAACTTGCTTTTTGCTCTTTTCAAGTTGTCACTGTTAATTTTGTCGTCTGTTAATTTTAACATGTTTCATCTACTTGTAGATTATTTTTGCTAATTTTAGCTACCCTTTTTTGCTATCTTTCTACTGTCTCTTTCTACTAATCGTTCACATTTTTGTCCTACTTTCAGCAAAAACCAGCTGTTCAAATTGAACTGGCATTGATTTAGTTTTGATATTAAACTTTTTCAGATTCTTCAGCAGCTTTCAGCTAAAATCTTTCAGCATTAATAATTTACTTTTTCAAGCTATTTTTWGTCTAGTTTCAGCTTTTTAGCTGTTTCTTGCTCATTTGAAATTTGTCACTGATTTCCCCGTCTGTCTGATAATGTTACTCGTTTCATCCACTTTTAGATTCTTCTTGCTAATTTTAGCTACTTTTACCCTCTTTTTGCTAACTTTCTATTGATATTTCACATTTTTTGTCCTACTTGCATCAAAAAACAACTGATCAAATTTAACTGGAATTAACAGTTTTGATATTAAACCTTTTCAGCTTCTTCAGCAGCTTTCAGCTAAAGTCCTTTAGAGTTAATTATCACACTGCATTTTCACAGGAAATGAAAAACCCTCTAGTTTCTATTATTACTACACATTCATTAAAGCAAGAAAACATTTGTAATTTTCAGGTTTCAAGTCCCAACAACAACGAAAATCCCAGTTTGACCAGGCCACGCCCCTCAGAATCGACCTCATCTCGGCTGAACTCCTAATAACCCGCACCGGTTCCCACACCTATCTATCTGTGCTAACCCATTTACTGGATGACCTGTGACCTTTGGCCGGGGTCGTGGCCGGTGCCTTCATTAGGGGATAAATCATAAACACCTGAGCAGCTGACCTGGGCCCCGGCGCTGAGGCTGCAGTCATGTGTTGTTAATTCTGAGTCGCGGCGGCGCGTAAATCGGGTTAAAGCAGCGCCAGCGACCCTCGGGCGCTTCGGAGCGCATATTAAAAACGTGACCACAGCCGGCTCACTGTGTGTCACAGTGGGTGTGAGAGCGCGTGTGAAGTGGCTGCAGGAAACCTGGCTCCACCACAGAATAACTCTGACTTTATATGGAGCGTGTAACTGAGAACTTTCACAACAGGTGACTGTGTTTCACTGCTGACGCTTTACGTCACTTTATGTGATGTAAAACACAAACAAAATCATATAAATATTCAAACATTTCTTTATCGTCTGTTAGCAAAATATCTAATGAACCACTGGATGGATTCTAGTGGTTCACTAGCTTCACTAACCACCTATCAAGAATCTTAGCTTCACTAACACTAAACCACTAAACAGATTACAAAATTAGTGGAAGCTAACGCTAACTGCTAACTGCTAAGACAACTGTCTCTCAGTCCATGTCTCCGTCTCCTTCCAGTTGAAAACTGTTGGGACTGACAGATGTGGAAAACTGGCCAATCCAAACTAGAGTTATATTCCTGTCTAACTTGTCATATTTTCAGAATAAAAGCCCTTCAGAGTTTGTATATTTGTAAACAACATTTGAAGTTAGTCAAATAAACAGCAAATACTTTACCATGTTTTTACATGGCCTTTTATTGTATTTGTCATTTAAATCTTAAATGTTATTTTTATTTTTTTCTGACGCTCTTAATTTGAAGCTTAACTGCTAAAGATGCTACATGCTAACACACACGGTGCCTGACACATGAGTTTTTATTTAATTCTGGATAAACAGCAATAAAATAGATGCTTTGCACTTGTGAAATGTGTAGAATCTTAGGTATGCTAATGCTAAACCGCAAAACAGTTTACAAAATTAAGGGAAGCTAATGCTAAATGCTAATTGTTAAGACGGTCTCCCAGTCCATGTCTTTGTCTCCTTCCAGTTGAAGACTGGTGGGACTGACAAACATGTGGCAAATCGGCCAATCCAAACTACTTATAGCTCTGTCGAACTTGTGATACTTCAAGTTTAACCCTTTCAGAATAAAAGCATTTCTTTGACAGAGTTTGTGTTTTTATAAATAACGTTTGAAGTTAGTCAAATAAACAGCAAATACTTTCTCTAAGTTCTTTTTTACAAGGCTTTTTATTGTATTTGTTATTTAAATTTTGTTAAATGTTATTTTATTTCCTCCTGACGCTTTTAGTTTGAAGCTTAGCTGCTAAAGACACTACATGCTAACACAAACGGTGCCTGACACGTTCAGCACTGCTCATAAGAGCAAAGAGTTTTTATTTAATTCTGGATAAACGGCATAAAAATAGAAGTTTTGTACTTGTGGAATGTGTAGAATCTTAGCTCTGCTAATGATACACAGATTACAAAATTAATGAATGCTAACGCTAAATGCTAACCGTTAATTGTTAAGGCAACTAGTCCATGTCCTTGTCTCCTTCCAGTTGAAGACTGGTGGGACTGACAAACGTGGGAAACTGGCCAATCCAAACTACTAATAGCTCTGTCGAACTTGTGGTACTTCCAGTTTAAAYCTTTCAGAATAAAAGCACTTCTTTGACAGTGTTTGAATTTTGTAAATAACATTTGAAGCTAGTCAAACAACAAACAGCAAATATTTTCTCTACCTTCTTTTTTACGTGGCCTTTTATTGTATTTATTTAAATATTAAATGTTATTTTATTTCTTTCTGATGCTCTTAGTTTGAAGATTAGCTGCTAAAGATGCTACATGCTAACATACACAATGCCTGACACGTCCAGCACTGCCCGTAAGAACGGAGAGTTTTTATTTAATACAGGATAACCGGCATAAAAAAATAAGTTTTAAACTTGTGAATAATTTTAGTGGACTTGAAACTAGCGGGACTTCATTTAGCTAACGGTTTGTAAAGTTAGCAATAAAGCTAACCCGCTAAATGAGAAGCTAGTTCCGCTATTAGCGGATCTGTGCCCATGACTGATGGATTTTAAAGAAACTCTTTGAAAAGTAAAACCTTTGGGTGAATAACCGTTATTGTTACAGGTACTGAGGTCAAATTTAACCTGGTAGTAGCTGAGAGTCATCAAACCCTCTGAGCACAAACTTTGTTTTAAACCTTTAACGGKTTTATAAAGCACACATGTTCTGAACTGGTGTAACGCGTGTCACTGACCTCTCTTCGGGCTCTCGTGGTTAAAGAGGATCCCGTTGACGGCGAACATGTTGTAGGCCTCGCGGAAGTTCACCACAATCCAGTAGGCGTAAAGCTTGGCGGCTCCTGAGACGACAGGAAGAGGAGGGACGACAGACAGGAAGTGAGGACAGAAAGAGCGTGAAATGAGCTTTGTTTTAATTATAGTTTGGTGTTTTTCGAGCCGCTCATTCAAGGAGCTTTTAGCCACAACGTGGGGCGACTTTGAGGTCATTGGCCTCTGTGAGGAAGATGAAACACTTTAGAGATGAAAAATAAAAGTTTCAGGAGGATTTTATGAGCCATATCGCTGAATGAAAACCTCCTCATCCTCCCTTCTCCTGTAATGAGCTGAATACCAAAGCAAATGAAGGGAGGCGCCTGCTGATTAAGGCACACGTCAGGTCCTACAATAAAAAGCTGAAGGGAGGTCGCCTCCCCCCACCTCCTCCCCCACCTCTTCCTCCTCCTCCACCTCCTCCTCCTCCTCCTCCACAGGTCTAATTAATAAAAGGAACAGCTCTTCATAAAAGGTACTCGCCTCCCTTTCAGCTGCAGATCGAGTGCTGACGGATGAGGAAAGTGTCAGTCAGTTATGTCCTGTGATCGCTAACACACGCGTACGGTGTGTGTGTGTGTGTGTGTGTGTGTGTGTGTGTGTGTGTGTGTGTGTGTGTGTGTGTGTGTGTGTGTGTGTGTTGTGGATATAAAGGTGTCTTTGTTAAACTGAGAGCCACTCCAGTCCTCAATCAGACGTTTGGCCTCAGGGTGTGGAGAGAGCTCAACAAGAGTCTGAGTGCTGAAGCACTCCTCTATTCACTGACACACACGCACACACACACACACACACACACACGCACACACGCACGCACGCACGCACACACACACATTCATAAACACACAAAGTGCAGCTAAGGAATCAAGCCATCCACATCTGTATGTTCTGAAAAGTTCCTTAATGCTGAGGCTACTCCTCAGTAACCGTGTTTCCATCAAGGCTTTTTGATGCGCATTTACAAGTGTCGCATTAAAAATGCAAAAAAAAGTTGGATGGAAACAGCCAAATTCGAAAAAAAAAATACTCAATTAGCTAAAAAGTTTTTACGCTCGCTTGAGGTGGTTTTCGGATGATTCACAAAGTAGTCAATGCGCAAAACGGTCGATGGAAACACCTTTGCCTAATAAATTCTGACGTAGCGCATATTTACCTCATGTGACGTTCAGCTGTTTCTTCTTTCCTGCCTCGTCCAGGATGTTATCATAAACGCGTGAAAACATGGCTGCGAACAACAACAAAAGATACGTGTGGACTGACGAAGAGACGAGAACATTTCTCTCTTTAATTCGCAAAAGAAACGTTACAGCCATTTTAGATGCCCAATAGCAAGGGATTCACAAAAAAAATCACTCAATTGTCCCGAGATGATTAGCCTTTGCTAGTTAGCAAGTTTCACTTCCTGTTTACTACCTCAAAGCTTGTCGCCGATTTCTGACATAATCACGCTTTGCGCAGCCTCGTCTGACGTAATCACGCATTGCGTAGCCTCGTCTGATGTAATCACGCGTTGCGTAGCCTC